TGTGAATTGCTATTTCATGCTCAGTTGTCTCTGATTTTTTTTGTTTTTGTTTTTCGTATTGTATTCTTTATTCTGAGTGAGAGCGGTGTTTATGCTCCGTTTTTTTGCCATAACATGTGTAGTAGTTGTTGGGGTTGTGGGTGGTGGGGTAGATAGCGGGCGGAAGGGGGGTTTGGGAAGAGTGTCTAGCACGCTGCACGAGTTTGTATTAGCGGCCGCATAGAAGGCTCTCTTTATAAGGGTTTGTTTGTTTGCTTGCTTGTGTTATATATATATATATATCATTTATTTATTTTTAATTGTTTTTTGATATGTTGTGATGCTTTCATCTGCGTGCTTTTTATTTTCTCAGGCCCTTCTTACTGGCAGCATGAGCCATGTGACTGCTCTTCCTTCCTGCGATGGAGGAAGTTTGCCTTGGCTGCAAAGTTGACACGATGAGGGCGACAACAGTCGCTGTGGGGGAAAATAACGTCAGGCCTTGAATGGCCTCACCGCAGAGGCTGTTTTTTTTTATTTTCTTTTTGAATTGTTACTTTTTCTCCTCCCTGTATGTCTTTCCCCTCTCACTCTTCTACGTTCTCTTACCGGGAAAAACATACAGGCATACACGCACACATACACACATGTATACCTTTTCCGTTCTTTTTTTTTCTTTTTGAATTAGTGGGGTGCTGGAGGCCTTTCCCCATCAGGTGCACCCCCTTACTCTTTGATCTTCTTCATCCCTGTCAAATTGTCCCGCGGATCATCCGTTTTCCCGCTCAGATGGTCGCTTAAGCATTTTTATAGGTCAAAAAAGGGGGTATTTTTTGTATTGTTGTCCGTTTTTTTTTTTTTACTGTCGTCTTTTTTTCCTTGTGTCTTTTTTCTGTCTTTTGTCTCGTGTTTTTTTGTTTTGATACGTGCATTTTTCCATTGTTTACTTGTGTGTGTGCTCGTGGTTTAAACTCTGTTTTTCCGTGTTGTGGGCACTCCGCCAAACGTCCTCCTCTTCGTCTTCGTTGGATTCTCTTGTCTCCGTGTCCCCGTTGTTGGCTGCCTTCAGCATTTGCCTTTTTTTTTGTTTTGCGTTTTGGTTCACCGCGGCCCCAGCACGGAGGGCGTCTGCGGCGGAGATGCCAAGAGAGAAGAAGCAGAAGCCTGCCGTCGTTTGCCACGACGGCAGCGACGCGGAGGTGAGTGATGCGGAGGTGCAGCAGCTGCTTCAGAGCGGGGCATGGAAGGCGCTGACGCAAGAGGGGACAGGGCGGACTTATTACTACCACGCGGAGACGAAGAAGACGTGCTGGGACTTGAAAAAGGAGCTTCTAAAGCAGCGCCGGGCGCAAGCCAAAGAGAAGGCCGCGGCGGCAACAACTGCGCAGGAGAAGGAATCGATGGCAACCGAAAAAGAGGAACAGGGGCAGACCGAAGCGAGTGACGCGGGGCACGCGGAAGCTGAACGCAGTGCTGCGGCAGCTCCTACTGGGCCAGGCGTGGCCGCAGGAAATCAGCATGTGACATTGCCGAAGACGACGCCCCCGACGTCTCCCACGGAGGACGCGTCCATAAGCGGCAATGTCAATAAGAGGAGGAATGATCTTACCAGCGGCAGGGACGACAACAACCACCCAACACTTTTGCCCTTTGGTGAGAAGGGAAGGGAACTCATGCAGATGGATACGTATAAGGACCCACTGCAGCGTCTCATGGATGAGACGAACTCGCTGGAACGACTCATGGTGTCCTCTGGCACTTCCCAGGCGATGGCATTGGAGTTCCAACGCTCCTACGAGGCGTTGACTCGTACCAACAGGGCCCTCACCACGCAGATGGTGAAGATGAAGCAGGAGTACGGGGCAATGGAAATGGCACTGCGAGAGGCAAATATTAAGCTGTACGAAAAGGATCTGGCGCTGCGTGAACTGCAGTGCCGGACGAGAGCGGTAGACAAGGAGGATGAGGCAGAGCGAACACTCATCTTCCTTCGTGAACAGAATCAAGAGTTGATTCGACAGGTGGGTGAACTCACAGTGGTTCTCTCACGTGGGTTTAACGAGTTGGCGTATCAGCAGGCCTTAACCTCCGGCCCGGGGGCACTCAACCCGGAACAACTGGCTTCCAGCCCTCTGCAACTGAACCAGAATGGCTCTCTTGGAACGATGCTAGACCGCGTTCTCACCAATCCGGTGACGCACAAGCTCCTTTGTCTTGCATGCACGGAGGAACTTGAAAAGTTGCGTCTCAGTTTGCTATCGGATGAGGAAAGGACAACAACATCACTAGCCACAGTTAGGCATCATTCTACGACTGGCACTGGTGGCGACCACTATCATCACGCGCGTTACGTCCCTGCCGACTCAGCTGCCTTGCCATTTAATCACCTTGGTCACCCAGAAGAAGTGACACAGGCGGGAAAGGGCAGCGGCTGTGCTGGTGGGGGCAGTGGCCCATTCCAACCACCACAGGAAACACAAAGAAGGCCTCAATACGGGCCACAAGTTGCCGTAGGTGCCAAGCAGCTGTCATTATCGCCGCGACAGAATAGTGCCGCGTCGCACCCTCACTCGGGCAGTGACGGCGGGCTGCAGTCGTATCCGTATCGGCAGCAGCTCCCTGGAAGCGCGTACAGCTGGAAGCGCTGGACAGCGCAAGCCGATGACGGGAGAAGCAGCACATACGGTGACCACATTCCCAAAGTCTCCATGAGCCGTCGATCTGAGTCGCAGAATTTAGCGGTCAGTCCCACGCCTATTTTTGGCGGATTTCGCATTCGCCCTTCGTATTGAGTTTTTTTTTTTTTGTTGCTTCTACAAATTTTTGCGACTCCTGCAAAGACGACGGGGGATTGTTTAAAATCAGCGCGGGACGAGATAAGAAGGAGAATGGGCGAGAAGGAACTGCTGCCTATTTTGGGGCTTTCTTCGGCTTCGCCGCGCTGGAGGGAGAAACTTATTGTGCCCAGCTGATGGGCGAGGCTGGCGGGATGCCACGGCTGCGTCCCGCGGCAGCGGTTTAGTCTGTAGCGGCAACCAACAAACACGAGTGAAGGCCCGTATGTGGCGGGGCATATGCAGGAGGCAAAGCGAGCACGGTATTATTCTTACTGTGATTATTATCATTTTTGAGTCTTCCGTGCAACTATCGATTTTCAACGCTGAATTTTTGTACTGTTATTGTTTTTTGCCATTTTATGCCTATTCAGGCATGACGCCGTGCATGTGGTTATTATTGTGTTACGGCGGTTTCTTCACCACATGCTCTTTTTGAAGCCATGTTGGCGGGAAACGACCCCCCCCCCACCTTTTTTTTTTGCTGCCAAAACTGGGTTTCATCATCGCCATTGCCTCTTTGGTTGTATTTTCTCGTTTGTTTTTCCGTTCACACACGGCGGTGCACATGAGACTCCACCGTCTGCTGCTCTCTTTTTTTTTACTGTTTCTGCGTGCGCGTATGCGACTATCTTCGATTTTTTTTTTTTGTAGGACCAACAAAGGAGGGGGCGAAAAAGAAGACGATATACACATTTTCCTGTGCTTGTTTCGGCATCTCCCACGGCAACAACATCGATAGGCGTGTGTGGCGCGGCACAGCGGGGCACACAAGACGGCGATGGAGTCCGTATTCAGGCAGCAACAGCAACCATCGCATCAGGAGCAGGGGGCGGGGGCCACCCCTGTGGCTACTACGCGAAGACGGGGGAGGGGGACATTCAACCAGCCACTGCGGGCGGATCAGCCTTCCGCTAACAACACCAAGCTGACTGCAGTTAACGACAACGCGTCTGTCCTGACGGCTGTCACAACAACTGTTCTGCCGGCTAGCAACCCTCCGCCAGTCTCACGAGTGCCGGAGGAGGACCTTGCGGCGGAGTATGGCGGGCATAAGCGTGATATTCCGCTAAATATTCGCGAGAATTTCGGTGTATGCGAAACCGAGCATGAGGCGGACACCGTTCGACAGCTGCTTTTCCGTGGTGAGAAGCGGCGCCGCTACTGCATCATTGTTGGTGAACTGCAGAACTCTGCCCGTCCCATCACGCTTAAGCTGTTCGGCCACAAGGGACCAAAACCTTTTAAGTTGCAGAATAAACTTATTCGGTTGGTGAACATCAGCGTTGGCAGGCCACGTCCTCCGCGACCGGTGATTGAAGGGGTAGAAGGAGGAGAAGGAGAAGGAGAAGGAGAAGGAGAGGATGCGAGGGAGGACAACAGCGACGCCGATGAGTTAAAGCGCGGGGGGTCCGACGAACTCGACATGGCGTGTTATGCCGGTCATGAGAGCGTCCAAGACGAACCTGAGCCGACCCACGATGTGTATGAAGAACCAACTCAGCACAGCGATAAGGAACAGGAACGCCACGGAGACGAGGAACAGCAACGACAACCGCGACTGGAGGGAAAGGAAGATGCTTCTCGAGAAGATTATGACACGAGGGTGAGGTATACGTCGCAGAACTACGAGGACGTGGATGTCTACGCGAACGAGGACAATGTTCTCCCATTGATGGTTGAATTGCGGGATTCTGCCACAACCAATATGAGTCAGCCGTCGTCCATGGCGAATAGTCCTGTCCTTACGGTCACACGCTTCGATGGACTTCAAAAGTACTTCTTCGATGAGTTTACGCACCTCCTTAGCTTGGAGGACGTTCGTATGCAGCATGTCTCGATTAACCTCAACCTTGGTGCCGCCTACTGCTGTCTCGCGCGTGAGGGGTCGTACAGCACACCGTTAAAATACGCCACTTTTAGTGAATTTGTACAACGTATGAACGAAGAGTCGATGCAGCTGTATTTTATGAAGGATGCACCAACCTGTGTTTCGCGCGCCGTGGATAGGGAATGTGGGGCACTGCAGTCTGAGGCTGTTTTTTCGCTCGTGAAGATTTGCTTTTTCTCAAATGAGCGACAGAGTCGCTCTGTGGCACGAGCCATGTGGGATGCGTACGAAAATCGATTTGTCTTGCTGGATATGGAAAACGCTGGTGTCACGTTTACGTGGACGGTATTCTCTGTGGACGAGACGGGCATCGCCGCCGCGCCGATGGGCCCTTCTCCTCAAGATGTGGGGAACCTGAGCACCGTTGGTGTTGACGGCAACGGCAGTGGCGGTGGCGATGGTGGCGGTGCGGGCACTGGCCCAGACGGCAACGGTGCCATGCGGAAAAAAACCGTAGCGTTTCCGTTTGAACTCGAGTTCCACGTGTACCGCCGCTGGAAGCAGCACACAGAACACCCGGCCGCCCCCATTGCCGAGGCAATTCTTGATAAGTTGTCCCTCGCGGAGCACAATCTTATCCATTATGGCTCAACTATTGGCTACGAAAGCATGGATCTCTCGCACGTGTGCGAGGTCGATGCTGAGTCGGAGGACTTTAACGTGGAGAGCATCATTGTGGAGCACACCTCACGCGTGAAACCGCGGGGGACAGATCTCACAGTGGACAGCACCTCGTCGCTCTGGATCGAGAACTTTGCGGCCGCGCGTGCCCTTAAAAACCGCCTTGCACAGGGAAACATCAGCGCGACCACGGTGCCGCAAGCGGTGCGGGAGCGACCACGGGGACGTGAAGGACGTGGGCCCGCGACACCGCATGTGCCGAAGCAAAAAACCCTGCACCCTGCCTCACGACTGACGTTCTTCCGCGCCCGCAGCAGCACGGTGCATTGGAAGCTGCGGCCCAGCTGCAGCACAGAGGAGAACTTGGCGCCGCTAAGCGAGGCCCTCCACTTTGCGCGGCAGGTGATTAACACGGCGAATGAGATTGAGCGCACTTCGGTGCGTGGTGGCGCCGCCCCAGACGCCATTTGAGGAACCATTAAAACCAGACGGACAAGGGAATCACGCAGGAGGACAAATCAAAAAAAAAAAGGAGCAAAACAAAAACGGGAACAACACGGATATGGGAAAGAAGGAATGAAAACAAAGGGGAAAGGGGCGACCGGTGTGAAGGACGCACTCAGGAGTTGAACGTTTTTTTTTTAATTGCCACCTTCTCCCCTTATCGGTGCCTCCGATATGTTTTACGACGTCATGCTTTCTTTTTCCTCGGTAATTTTGTTTTGTTTCTGTCCAGCGTGGTCGTGGAGGGATGGGCAGCTGCTGGCGCATGTGCCGCGCCGTCTTAGTTGCCGTTTCATACTTCATGCATTTCAGCTGGAGTCTGTTGACTTTTGAAACTTTTTTTTTTCTTGGTCTCGTTCTGCGTTTTTTTTTCTTTTTTGCGAGAAGTGGTCGTGCGCATCACCTTTTTTTTAAAAAAAAATTTCTTTGTGTGCGTGTGTGTGTGTGTGTGCTCTTTTGCTGGGCTAAATCAAGCTATCAGTAAGCCAAACAGGAGAGAGAGAGAGAGAGAGAGAAAGAGTGAGAGAGAGAGAGAGGACTACGTGATAAAGGCCCTTCCAGTTACCCTCACTAGTGGAAACGCAAAACTTAACAAGAACAGAGACAATAATAAAATAATAATACAAAAGAAAAGGACGAGGGACATGTCATCTGAGGATCCTGCGGCCTTCATTCAACTGCAATTGCAGATTGCGACGATAAAGCAGGTCTTCAGCGATGCGCTCGCCAAGGAGCTGAACCTCGTTGAGGTTCAAGCCCCAATTCTCTCGCGGGTTGGTGATGGGACGCAGGATAACCTCTGCGGCCATGAGAAGGCAGTGCAAGTGCGTATAAAGAATATTCCGGACGCCATGTTTGAGGTGGTTCACTCCCTTGCAAAGTGGAAGCGACAGACACTTGGGGAACACAAATTTCCCATTGGCCAAGGAATTTACGTTCACATGAAGGCTCTTCGCGTGGAAGACGACCTAGACAATGCGCACTCCGTCTTTGTGGATCAGTGGGACTGGGAATTGGTCATGCCGCCGCAGGAGCGTAACTTGACATTTTTAAGGAACACTGTTCGGCGCGTGTACGCGGCGATGCGCCAGGCGGAAGAAGTTATCTGCGCCAAGTTCAACTTGACTTCGGTGCTCCCGGCCAGCATTCAATTTTTTCATGCGGAACAGCTGCTGAGGATGTACCCAGATATGAGCCCGAAGGAGCGTGAGCGCGCCATTGTGAAGCAACACGGTGCCGTATTTCTTATTGGCATTGGTGGCAGACTAAGCAGTGGCGAGTGTCACGATATGCGTGCGCCGGACTACGATGACTGGTCTTCCCCCGTTGATGCGAATGACAGCGGCTTTCCTTCCGGCCACCCAACAGTGAATTCCTTGGAGTCGCTGCAGGGGCTGAATGGTGATATTCTTGTGTACAACCCTGTGCTTGATGACGTGCTGGAGCTGAGCAGCATGGGGATTCGCGTGGACGCGGAAGCGCTTAAACATCAGCTCGCCCTCTTGTCGAATGAGGAACGCCTGCAGTACGATTGGCACAAACGGTTGCTGGCCGGTGAGTTTCCGCAGACCATTGGAGGTGGTATTGGTCAGAGTCGTCTGGTAATGCTACTCCTCCAGAAGAAACACATTGGGGAGGTGCAGTGCAGCGTTTGGCCGAAGGACGTAAAACTTAATAACTCTATTCTGTAAAAAATATGGGTTTGTTTTTGTTTGTTTGTTTGTTTGTTTGTTTGCTTTTTTTTTCGTTTTATTTTTGTTGTTGTTGTTTGTTTTTAGTTTTTTTTTTTTTTTTTTTGTGCATTTATATACGGACCGGTAATGACTTGTGTTTTTGGATTTCACGTCTCATGTTGCGCATTTTTCGCCACCGAATGCGCGACAATATGGAGGCAGCGGAATTGAACGAAAAGAATAGAGCATGCATCTAACAACTGGGAAATTTTGCGAAAGTTGTGTAAGGCAAAGCCGCCCTCCGTGGTTGATGTTATGCAATGGATTGCACTTGTTTTGTACATATTTGTGTGTTTCCTCATTATTTTGTGTTTGCTTGTTCGCTTCAGAGGTTACTTTCACAAGGTGAGGTGCATCATGCTTTCCACTGCCTGAATTATCGTACTGTACAGGCAACTGACATTCAACTGGCGATGCTGAAGGGATCCTTCACGAAGGGCAGACAATAAATAGGTGGAAGCAGCACAGGCCTCTTCGCCTGACGCTTCTGGGGCGGGGTCATCTTCGAAGGAAAAAGACAAAAGACAAAGGGGGTAAAAATAGTCAAGCAGGCAAAGATGGCTGCAGGGTTTCCCACTCCTCTACATCTCACTCCGGAAGGAGAGGGGTGGAATCGCATTGTTGCGAATGCCCCTCCGCGGTTTTGTTGGGGCGTGATGGTATGAAAGACCCCTTCGTGCTGTGCCCACCGCTTCAGTTGGACCACGAAAAACAGGAAGACTCGGGCTTCCCCTTCCGTGAAGAGTACGCCAAGTTCGGCGACGGCGACGACGGCGCCAATACCAAGGAGGTAGCCGAAGCACTTCTTGGTATTATTATTGTTTTCGGTGGGGGAGGACTGGGCATCAGCTCGCCGGATCCTGCGTGAAATCACAAGGCAATCGGAAGCCTGTAGTTGCCATTCCACGACGACTTCTCGGTGGGGCGTCAGGATGATTTGGCATGACACATTGTTTGTTCTCTCGTATGGCTCGATGCCAGTGGTTTGAGATCCCGCTCCCACTGCGCATCACGAAATGGGAACGTAAGGAGGCACGATTACGTCAGTTTTGTTGTTGCGTGTGTAAATTTCTGCGCCGATTTTCGATGGCAACGAGGTCTGTCGTTGATCTGCGGTCAAAACAGTGTGGCTGTTTTTTTATTTTATTACTCTCCCTTCCTGTACGCTTGTCGTCGGTGGTACTGCTCAACAAGGCCACATTAAGTTACATCAATGACGAGCATCTACGACTTTCGGGTGAATGGGGCCGATGGCAAGCCATACGACCTCTTGCAGCACAAGGGGTACCCGCTACTGATCTACAATGTGGCCAGTAAGTGCGGCTACGCGAAGGACGGCTACGAGACGGCGACGACGCTCTACAACAAGTACAAGGGCCAGGGCTTTACAGTGTTGGCGTTTCCGTGCAATCAATTTGGCGGGCAGGAGCCGGGGACGGCGCAGGAGGTGAAGGAGTTTGTTTGCACACGCTTTAAGGCGGAGTTCCCCATCATGGCGAAGATTGACGTGAATGGTGACAAGGTCCATCCGCTGTATGAGTTTATGAAGGAGGTGAAACCTGGTATCTTGGGCACCAAGGCCATCAAGTGGAACTTCACCTCGTTCCTCATTGATAAGAATGGTGTGCCCGTGGTGCGGTTTTCGCCCGGTGCGTCGGTGGATCAAATTGAGAAGGAACTTGTGCCACTGCTTCAAGTTGTGCGTCTGTGAATCAAATTGAGAAGGAACTTTTGCAACTGCTTCAGGCTAGCAACTGAATGGTCATTACGTGAGGGTAAGTCTTGGGGATTTTTTCCTCGTTTTTTTATTTTGATTTGTTTTGTTTGTTTGACTGGGTAGTGGAAAAAAAATTCACCCGGGCAGATGTTATTGCTGATATCTGTGCTACTGCTCCTCTATCTCTTTTAACATCCATCAGGAGGAATTGATGGGATGATTTTTGTAAAACTCTTCTTAATTAACGAATGGACATGCGGAGAGCCCGCGTTCATTGGACTGACCGTGACGAGTGGACGCACACGTTTTTTTTTTTTTTGATCTTTGTTTCTGATTCTCTGCGTGGGGATGAACGGCATTATTTTCGCTTGTCTTCGCCATTGCATCCTTCCCACGTTTTGCCGTGGCGTGCAGTAACTTAATACATGTTTTGTTTTACTAAATTCCGCAGGACAATGAGTGTGAAAACCATCTACAACTTTCGGGTGAATGGGGCCGATGGCAAGCCGTACGACCTCTTGCAGCACAAGGGGCACCCGCTGATGATCTACAATGTGGCCAGTAAGTGCGGCTACACGAAGGGCGGCTACGAGACGGCGACGACGCTCTACAACAAGTACAAGGGCCAGGGCTTTACAGTGTTGGCGTTTCCGTGCAATCAATTTGGCGGGCAGGAGCCGGGGACGGCGCAGGAGGTGAAGGAGTTTGTTTGCACACGCTTTAAGGCGGAGTTCCCCATCATGGCGAAGATTGACGTGAATGGTGGCAAGGCCCATCCGCTGTATGAGTTTATGAAGGAGGTGAAACCTGGTATCTTTGGCACCAAGGCCATCAAGTGGAACTTCACCTCGTTCCTCATTGATAAGAATGGTGTGCCCGTGGTGCGGTTTTCACCCGGTGCGTCGGTGGATCAAATTGAGAAGGAACTTGTGCCACTTCTTCAGGCCAGCAGCTGAATAGCCATTACGTGAGGGCACGTCTTGGGGATTTTTTCCCCGTTTTTTTTTTGATGTTTTCCGTTTTTCTTTTTCTTTTTTTTTCTTTTTTTTCTTACTTATTTATTTAATTTGTTTTGTTTTTTGTTTCTAGTTGTTGTACTATTTGTTGTTGTTGTTC